ATTTGATTCTTCAAAACTATCCGGGCCGAGAAATTTCAAAGTAATTGTCTTCATCCCCATTCTTGTAGGTAAAATCCCCAACCCCTTTTCATTGATTTTCAGGTTTAAACATAAAGGGGGAGTCTCATGCATTGACTCTTGAAAGAAAAGGGTGAAAACGTACATGCATGTCTTTTAAAACCTAAAACCTAGTAAGGGAAATTGGGTAGAAGTAGAGGTTTGCAAAAGAAGGGTTGATAACCTAAATATGTTCGGGTAGTAATTGTGAACTTCAATTCTAAGATATATGTGTTAACTTGTGCACTAGATTGACGTTGCTAGGCTGTTTGGTGAATTGAAAGTAGAAGTTAAAAGGGAATTCGGCTCCAGGTATGTATGGCTAACTTTGACCCTTGTAAAGTCACTTTGTTTGGTGTACGACTATTTGGTAGGTGATATCTATGTGGACTATTTGTGAAATTCTTGTGATTGGTATGCTTTGGGTGTTCGTGGTTAAGTCTCCCGATATAATGGTGCAAGTAATTAGCAACAAACCAAATGTGTGTGTGTGAATATGTTTATGTGGTAAGAGCTGGGAAACAAATGATGGAAAGAAATCGTAATTGATGCAATCGAAATAACTGTGGTTATAACATATATGGCTTGTAATGGGCAATTATCGTTGTGACTTAAAATGCATATGAGTTGTTGAATATGATGGAACTGGTATTGATGGTTATGAAAATTCTTTGTGAATCGTTGTTGTTGTTGTTGTTGTTGTTGTTGTTGTCCCTTGTGAATTGTTGTTGTTGTTGTTGTTTGTGAATTGTGATTGTTCGGTGGGATCGGGTTGCGCGCCGCAACACGAAGTAATAAGGTTGGGTTGTGGTGATCAGGGTGGCCGAGGTAATAAGGGTGGCCGAAGTAATAAGGGTGGAAAGTGGTCGAAATCACTATTGAAATGAAAATATGAGAAAATTGTGAAATCATTGATGTGATACTGTTGAAGGGGAAAAAGGAGAGATTGTAAACTTGTTTGGCTTGATGATTTCTCTCATGTGTATTTGATTGTTGATTCTATTACTGCTCGTTACTTGTGTATGGATTTGAGTTTACTTGGGGCAAAGTTTGTTCATACATACCAGTACAATTCAAATGTACTGACGTCCCTTTTGCCGGGGGCGCTACATTCGTGTTATGATTGTAGGTGGATCCATAACAGGTACTCCAGTCCACCGACCGTAGCTCCCCTTCACTTCCCGTCAGCTGAATTCGTGAGCCCCTTTCCTCTCGGGGCCCTGCGTGGCTCATGCCGCTTTTATTCCGGAGTCTTGTTTTGGTATTTGTGTAAGGTATAGCCGGAGCCTTGTTACCGGCAAGTATTGTATCATTCTTTTGTATCCTTAGAGGCTCCGTAGACAGGAAATGTGGGTTATGAACTTATGTAATATGTATTTTGTATGTTGGGCGATGTAAGTTGTAAACCACGCTAAGTAACCATGTATGTTATGTATGTTTGTAAAAAGGTGTTTCAATTATAAATGGCTATTTCCTTTGATTAATGAGTAATGAAAACACGGGGTAACACGTGGGATAGGAAAGGCACCCAGGTCCACTTGACTGGGGTTACCCGGTCGAGCGTCGGTCATGTCCCTCGGTTTTGGAGCGTGACAGAATCAACCAATTAGCATCGGATTCTAGCCTAAGAACTTCAAAAACTCACAAATTAGGCTTTCGATCAAAAAGTCTATCAAACCTCGTCCGAATGACCTGAAATTTTGCACACACGTCACATTCAACATTACAGAGCTACTCCAACTTCCGAAATTCCATTCCGACCCTTAGATAAAAATCTCACTATCGAACCGGAAATTTCAAAAATTCAACTTTTGGCATTTCAAGCCTAAATAAGCTACGGACCTCTAAAACACAATCCGAACACGCTCCTAAACCCGAAATCACCCAACGGAGCTAACGGAACCAACTGAATTCCATTTCGAGACCGTCTTCACACTATTTCGACTATGGTCCAAATTCTAAAACTTTAGACTCTCATTTAGGGACTAAGTGTCCCAAAACTCTCCGAAACTCCAAATAAATCCTCTCGGCAACACACAATGGCAGAAACAAACACGGGGAATGTAGTTAACAGGGGATCGGAGCGTTAATTCTTAAAACGACTAGCCGGGTCGTTACAGATAAGTTGTTTTAAATCACAGTTGGTTTAACAAAATTATTTAATGAGTGCCTCCACGTAATAGCTAAACTATTTCTCATGAGAACAAAGTTATATATATCAGTTTGATATATATTATATACGAAAGTATATTACATTCTCCCCTCAAAAGTGGTTCAAGGTCAGGAATAAAATAATTCCATCTTATTATTATTAATGTGCAGTGTGTATTTTGATTAGCACCATAACGCACAAAGATGAGTTTCCAAAATTGAGGAAACAAGTTAGTTTTTCTAATATGAGGGGGAGACATGATACAACAGTTGAGAAAAAGTTACATGGAATGAATTATTATTTATACATCTCGATCCCCGATAAGATAATATAAACTTAAAGTTCATAAAAAGATAATTCATCTGTAATATATTGCAAAGCATGTCATACGTATTTGCTGACCCAAAGAAAGTAACTATATTCTCACTGAAAATGCTCCTATTATAATAAGTCCTAGAAGGACAAAGTCTACGGTACGCTTAAAGCATATAGATAAATCAGTCTCAAATAAAATTCTTGATAAAGAAGATGAGCAAATGATCAAAATAATCATAATAAGGAGTCAAGTGATCTACAAGATCACATGACATAACACTTCATAAAATCTCAGGAGAGGTTCGGGTACCTGAAAATATGAATGAAGAGATCTCTATGTTATGTCTTTATGAAAAAATATTGGAACCGATATAAAATATTCATCGACGACATCTATCATAGCTCTAAGTATAGATGAGGACCTCAAGTTTGTCAAATACAGACACAAAAATATTGGCCAAATAGAAGAGACACGATTCAAATAGAATTGGTTTCATATGAAAGACATGTAATTTTGACATATAGTTCAGACACTTGAAAGTATAAAGTCAATGATATGTGCAATCAGTTTTCGATATCTTATTTGTCTAGCATAACATGAAAACTTGATATGCATCTAATTAAAGTCTATTATATGACTTAACTTATATGACAATCTCTGAAGGATTTAAATTGCTTAAAGCATATAGAATTCTTGGTCATAAAGTATTACATCCTAAGTGCAGTTTTTGCACATTTGTATCTTGCTATAACTATAAGCATGATAATGTGATAGCAAAGATTTTCAAGGTCCAACATATTCATTGGAGTTAATATGGCCGATTTATTCACCAAATCTCGTCAACCTTCAAGAAGCTAGTGCACAAGATTGGGATGCGAAGACTTAAAGATGTGAATTGATGCTCTCATCATGGGGAGTTGATACGCGTTTTACTCTTTTTCCCTTACAAGGTTTTGTCCCATTGTGCTTTACTTGCAAGGTTTTTAACGAGGCAACCAAAAGGCGTATTGTTAGATATGTGTACTCTTTTTTCTTTACTAGAATTTTTTTCCACTGGTTTTATTTTAGTTAAGGTTTTAACGGGGCACATTATCTGGTGCATTGACATTCAAGGGGGAGTGTTATAAATAGTAGTTTATTTATGGTGAATGTCTATATTTTAGAGAGATCTCGGGGTTTGTTACTTGGTGGCTAAGTCACTTTTCCCCTATAAATAGAGAGGTTCTATTTTATCGTAATTGATTCCAAATCAATAAGAATTCTCTCTTACTTTTCTCTGGTATACTCTTCTTCTTTTTTATTGTTTTATAACAGAAAATATATTTTTAGTATAATGACAACGGAATGAATATATGTTTGGAGTACTTTTTTTAGTCAAGCAGTAAAAATGGGTGACAAATATTTTCTCCAGCTCAGTTTGATTAACATTCAACTCTTTTTCCAAAAATAGGTGATACATTAATTGCTTTTTCTCCTATCACAATATCTACGACAAGTTATGTCTATATTTCCGTTTGGACTTTAGATCATCATTCTGATCTCCACATCATGATATTTTGTTAATTTCCGCAAAGTTGGTTAACTTTTCTTTTTGTTTCACCTTAAACGCTTTAGTACATATAATCTTCTATGGTTTTACATTGTGATTCTAAATTATTTCACACTATAAATAAGAAATCTCCTTTATAAATCCACCACTTAAGATATCGTTGCTTTAAACAATTGTTAGTTATTAGTGTGTATTATGTATTTGATCTTTCCTCTTTTATTTTCAGTTTATGTTAATAAATTATCAAGTTTGTATTCCTATTAATAAAACTCCTTCAAACAAGTAATTTACTTTTGTTATTTTGTCACTCAAAATTCTTTCATTTTAAATAATCATTAATTAATATATTAAGTTAACACTGGTTTACCTTCTTAACTCTATAAATAACGTTTTATTTTCATTATGAGTGGATTGAATAAATATGTGGAAACGAATAAATAATAAATAGATAAGAAAATTTTAAATTATAGAGTAAAATATGGAATGCACAGAAATAATAGTGTGACCGATGGTCGGATGTACTTAGAGAAAGTGACAAGGAGATCTTTATTTCCTAAAGGTAAAGTAAGAATTTGAATGTTTATTTTGTGTGTGTGCATATAAGTATTAAAAAGGCTTAATTGTTACTCTATTTTAATTTGAACTGTTACAGTGCGGAAAATATTAATAATTTATAAGGTCAATGATAGGATTCATTAGTGCGCGGATCTTAAATTTAAATTTAAAAATTGGAAATGGAGTAAATGAAATCCATCCTGTTATAGTTGCCTATCTGGCCCACAGATAACGGAAAAATAAACCCCATTTCAACTTTATTAGTAGCCTCAAGTCCAGGATTCTCTGTCAAAGATTGTGGAATTCCCAATCATCTCCCTAATCACTCGATCCAATCTTCATCCATTTTTTGCCCTAATTAGCTGAAATCAATGGCGATTAATTGCAAAGATTTGCCTGAAGAATGCTGGGAACTGATATTCAATCGTCTCCATCACCAATCCGATGTGGAATCATTTTCTTCTGTGTCCAAGCAATTCCTTGCTCTCACCAATCGTCTACGCCTCCACTTGTCTGTAATTGACTCCACTCTTCTCATCCACGGTACAATTGCTAAACTCATTCGCCGTTTTCCGAATCTTAAATCGATTGATCTCAGTAATTTTCGCGGTGAACTTGATCATGTTCTTGTTGATCTTGCCAAATCTGTCTCCTATACATCCAATCTTGAACAACTTGATATCTCTAATCAGAAACAGTTACCCGTCAAGGGTTTGAAGGAATTAGGGCGTAAATTGAAGGGTTTGAGGGTTTTGAAGTGTAGCGATCTCGCTCTTTTACGTGATCCTGATTTGTGTGCTATAGCACAGTCGTTTCCATTTTTGGAAGAGCTTGATATTAGCTATCCAAGGACGAAATATGATTTCAGTTTGATGAACAGAATCAACGGTGATTTGATCGTGACTGATTCTGGGATTGGGGGTTTATCGGTTAATCTGACCAATTTGCGTAAAATCAATGTTTCTGGGAATCATTTTATTACTGATAATTCGCTTGTTGCTTTGTCTATGAATTGCTTAAATTTACAAGGCATTGAGTTGGAGCATTGCACTTTGATAACTGTAAATGGGATCCTCTCTATGCTACGTACTTGTGCTGCTTTGAATTGGATTTCAGTGTCTGAGATTCACATTCCTCGATCAAGTCCTGGTTTTGAATGTTTGGCTGCTTGCAGCCGAACTTTACAGACACTCGATGTTTCCAGCTCAACTATTTCGGATGAATTTCTCTTCTTGGTGGCCAAGGCTTCTCTCCCTCTATCTAGGCTTTCACTTTGTGAGTGTACAAATTTCACGTTATCTGGTATCTCTTCACTTCTGTGCGCGTACCGATCACTAAAGTTCTTATCTTTGGTTCAAGTAGTTTTCTTGACTGATGAGACTATGAAAGATTTATCCCAATATCTACAAAGTCTTGTTACCATTAACCTCAGAGAATGCCTGAAATTGACCATTTCTACTTTCTTTACGCTTGCAAGAAATTGTCCTTCACTAGAAACCGTTAAAATGGAAAATACTTGTTTGGGAATGACGGATTCATTTCATAATGGTGTGAAGAACACAAGGATCAGGGCTGTTGTTTTGGCAAATAACTTGTTCCTGGATGATGATTCTCTCGCAAAAGTTGCTTTAGTGTGCCCCAACTTGGAGATGCTTGATGTGTCCTCGTGTAGAAATCTTACAGAGGCAGGTATTGCTTCTGTTCTAGAGGTGTGCAATCAGATGAGGGATTTGCGACTTGATCGCTGTTCAATGATTACACATATCGGACAAGGCACTGAATTGCCTAATCTTGAGGTAATCAGTGCAGTTGGTTCATCGTTAAGTGACGAAGGCCTGGCTATTATTGGGAGCAGATGTTCTCGCCTATTGAAGTTAAACTTGGAGAACTGCAAAGGAGTGACAGCAGATGGCATACATGCATTGGTGAAAAATTGTAAATCATTGCGAGAGATAAACTTGAAGAATTGTCCTCAAGTTAGTATCAGTTCTCTAAATAGTATGGTATTCTCGTCATCATCACTAAGGAGAGTTATTCCGCCTTGTTGCTCTGCTTTTAGTGATAGCTTGAGGGGATTTTACATGCACCACGGATGTCTAGTGTCCTCAGGCTAGTTTTCCATAAGACAAACGATCAATGGCGTCTCTTTGATATTTGAACCATTTGGCATATCCTTCTTCTATAATTGTAAATTTTGATCAAAATTGAAATGCCAATGCAATTATTTGACATTGAATATGCAGTATGCCAGTGTCTGTATAAATTTGTTTTATAGCAATCAAACCCGCTTCCTCCTCAGCAGGGTGCCAAGATTCTTGAATAGCTCCGGCGCAGCTTTATTTACTGCTTCATTGTTTCGTATTATTCAAATATTTTTGCTCTTAAACCGACCAATACGCAAATAGTGTATTAGTTTTAGTTAAACTGTAAAATTCTTAAGGCATCCGATGCATCTGCATTTACCAGTTTTTCTCGTTCTTGTTAACCAAGTTCAAATGATGAATTCTGCTCGATCTTGTTCGTTGAAACTGGATCCTCTATAGCTGGAAATAAATGAGTAACCTACTATCTTTATGGATGTTCTTTTTGATAAAGTCAGAGGCGGCTCAATGGTATTGGAGGCCTAAAGACAAGCTGTAATAAGAGGCCTTAAACTTGTTTAATAATTTCAGATATTTTTTTTTGAAGTTTTTTTTCTTTTTCTTTTTGAGATGCAATTTAATCTTGACAATGTAATCAATCTATTTAATCTTGGCAGAATAGCCTGGGAGACACTTGTACTTGTTCCGGTTTGTCATCCCGGTCCCTATACTTTATAAAGTTTCACCTAGGCACTTCAACTTAATCAAAATAAGATTTTTAAACCCTTCTGACCGTTGACCGCACTTACGTGGCATTGATATGGCTGAGGTGGACAAAATGAGTGATTTACACGCACCTAAGGTGCGTGAGCTGATGATTTTTCTTTATTAAAAAATAAAAATTAATAAATAAATAAATAAAATATGTTCTGCCCCCATACCCCCCCCCCCCCCTTCCATTCTCACCCCCTCCCCTTCCTCTTCTTCTCAGCCCTTCCGTCTACCCACCCCCCCCTTCAGCCCTTCGTTTCCCCCCTACCCCCCCCCACCCCCACCCCCCATTAACATGACACTTCACTCCTCTAAAGTAAAGCTAAAGAGTGAAATTCCATGATCATGGTGTTAATTAACTTTATTTTTCATAGTTTTTTAAAGCCCAATTAACGAAATTCCTTCAGAATTCAACTGAATATTCTGTCTTCTATTGAAACTAGCAGGAGAAGGGTCCAACAATGGAGCTTCTAAATTCTGTTTCCTCATTTCTCTATGACTAACAGAATGGCCACTGGGTGGAGAGAGGGAGAGAAAACTCAAAGGTCCTATGTCGCCCCCCTCCTCGTACTCATGGTGGAGGAGCCATGGCAGGTGGGTTATTGTTTTAAGAAGGTTGAGGGGGTGGGTTTGAAGAAGGGAAGAGGGATTTTCTTTAATTTTTAATTTTAATTTTTTGCTTTTTTTATTTTACTTTTTGTTTATGAAATTAAAAATTTGTTAAATAATATTATTTTGCTATAGAATCTGATGTGGATGCTGATTTGTCATCCACGTCAAGCAAGTGAGCATCACACGATTTCGGAGGTGTTTAAAAGTCTTGTTTTGATTAAGATGAAGTGTCTGGATGAAACTTTATGGAGTGTAGGGACCGGGATGACAAACCGGAACAAGTACAAGTCTCCTAGGTTATTCTGCCAATAGAAAATGGTATATTCACTGGACAATTAGCTTTTACGATATTACTATAACTAGTCTTAGTATACGTGCGTTGTGCGTATACCTTTTTAATGATAATAAAATTTTAAAAATAACATAAATAATATTTAATTTAGAGATGTACTTGCATTGTAAAATAAAATTTAATAAATTTTTTCCAACATGATGCATAAATATTAATACTATTATTTAGGAGTTTGGATCCATTCTAGTGGTTCTTTCGCCAATAATTTTAGTACATGATTCCTTGAACAAGAATGTTATAGGACTAATATTTGATTAAAATGTGAAATCATTCAACTTTACATGAAGACGTGGCCACGTGGGTATGTGTGTTTAGATATATCTATTTCATATTAATTATTACAATTGTTTGGTGATAGCTTACCTTCACTTGAAAACTACATCCATTTTTTTTCCCCCAATTTATTAGAGTGCTAAACCTTTTACCCTTAGAGATAATGCATAAATACCCCATTCAACTTGTCCTGAAAAGTCATTTATACACCTTAACTTTACGGGTGTCCTAACACCCCACGATTGTTTAACGTAATGTATTTAGTTACTGCCTCTCACAACCTGGCCCAACTATAATAACTTAAGTGGTTTACATGCGCTTGTATTATGAAGCCACGTAATTAAAACCTCCCGTAAATAAATAAAAATACCTAAAATAGATATAACCTAAGTCGTTTAACCCCTCAGTCAAAAATTCTCAAAATCAAGAACCCTAACCTTTTACCCCACCCTCCACGATTCGATTAGCATCTCCAAAATCCATTTGCCTGACCAAAATCGAAGGGACCTGTTGCAAAATCCATACGATTTCCTTGTTCTTGCTTCTTTACTTCTGTTCGTATTTGTTTCCGTTGACGATTTGGTTGAAGACCCGTTCGAACTTGAAGGTCTCTGAAGAATCAAGTGCAAACGTTCTCTTTGTTTTAGTTTGGAGGTAAACACATCAACCCTAGCCTTTTCTATCATCAACCCTAAATGTTATCTCTGTTTTAGTTTGTTTAATATCATCCGTTTCTAGGGTTTTGAACTTGCTTCCAATTTCTTCACTGTAATCTTATCAGTGTAAAATCATGAACAGAAATACAATTTTGAAGGTGTAATAATAACCAATTTTCAATTTTTTCTTGTTGTATGTATTCTGACCTCTTCTGTAGGGGTCCAATAGTAAATATTAATCCTTAATTATCTCTATTTTCTACTATATTCAGGTATTGCAATGTCCTTTGTACTTGTTACTCTAAGGTTTTTCCATGGTGGAAAAATCTCCATGGATAAGTTGGATTCCTTTTCAATGGAGGATTATATTGGTGGGGTGATGACTGATTGTTTTGATGTAGATGTTGATAGGTTCTCTTATTTTGAGTTTTTAGGTTATGTAAAAGAGTTTGGTTACAATGCTTCTTCTGCTGTTATTTATGTTAGACCACCTAATTGTCCTGCTTTGGTAGTAATTAAAGTTGATAGGGACCTTATGGGTATTTGTGAAGACTTAAAAATGGGGATATTTTGGAGGTTTATGTAGAGCACATGGTTGAAGAACCTGTAGTGGACCCCCCCTATTAGAATATGTCAGCCAAGTTGTGGATGATAGTAATGTTACTTTTGAGAAGGAATCTGGTCAAGATGTGGGGGGCTGTGAGGGTTTGGGAACTAGTGAAAAGGCATCTAATGCTGCTGAAAATAGTGCCAATAATAGTGTGCCCACAGCTGTTACTACAGATGATAGCTCTAACTCCTCATCTGAATCAAACTCCTCAAACTCTAGTAGCATTGATAATAGCTCAGATTCAGACCATGAAGAGTTGTCTGAAGAAGGAGAAGCTNAGACAGTCCTTAACTTACAGTTACACGTTCAAAAGTTAAGGACAAGCAGTACTTAACTTACAGTTACAAGTTCAAAAGTTAAGGACATGTAGTCCTGAACTTAGAGTTACAGGTTAAAAAGTTAAGGACATGTAGTCTTGAAGTCCTGAACTTAGAGTTTCAAGTTCAAAAGTTAAGGACATGTAGTCCTGAAGTCCTGAAGTTAAGGACATGAGCAGAAGGGTATTTTCGTCCGGGAAGTTAAAGTTTATTAAACCAGTGGCTAAAGACTAAAGACATTCAAAACACAGGCTTTAAAATAAAGACAAGAGCTGTTAGTGGCTATTTGTGCACATCGCCCGTAATCTTATGATTAAGTTTTGATTCTTTAGAATTTTTATGGATGGGATATTATTTGCGTTGTTATTGTTGTTATATTGTAGGATTAGCTACGATTTGATGTAAAACATGTATAATTATGTGCTTTAGAAATGCAAATAACACAAGCCACTCAAATCATTTCCTCTATATCTATCTTTTTATAAAGGCCCTTTTATAAATTGCAGAAATTTTAGGGCCATTGTGTCGAGGAGTTGCTATACATATTGTATCCAAGACCCTCTCTTTAACACATTTCCTCCATCATGGTTTATTCCTGCTTTGTGATGGCAGTGATCAGCATTTCTATATGTAATCAGTAATCTGTATGAAGTTTAATGTCTCACCTTCCATTCATCTTTTCATCAACATGATCAATACATCCTTCACCTTCATGCTAGAACATCATGCTATTATTTCAAAAGGAACCCTCAGTTGGCTTGATATGCAGATTCTGCTTGGGCCTTGGTGTGAAAATATAGTAGCCGATTAAAATGTGTAATGGAAGTGTATGCATCAACAGAACAAAGAGAGTTATGGTATTCACGTAATATGATCGACTACTATGTGAAATAGTTACATTTTATCTCAAACTCAGAAGGATGAGGGTTGGCCCCAAAGAATCGGACATTGAAGAAACCTGTCAGAAAAGAATGTTACTGCAACTAATGAGTTAGGATCTCTAACCTACGGATGACATCTTCTCAAGAAAAAAATCACAGATCCTTACTACCCTCAGTACCTTCATGACTAAAAACCTGCGCGGCGGAGGAATGTCCTTAGTTACATCTGACTCCATAAATCATACAATAACAGGGTTAGCCGTTACTAGCTATAGATGCTTCTCATTATACTTGTCTTCCTTTGTCAGAGGATGCCCGTGTAATGCTTTACTATATCAGCTCACCCACAAAGAATTTCAGTGCTGGAATCCTCACCAAACGGAATATTGAGGTCTGGGAGTACAAATTTAGACTCCAAAGCTGCAACATCTTGCTGCTCTTCCAGATATGATGGCAATATTGAGACCTCGTTTGCAGCTTTTTCCCGGAAGATGGGAATGACGGGATCACTTGGTAGGACCTCTTGCTGATACTGACCCAAACTTCCATCGTATGCAACAG